CTGCTAGGTGGTGTGTAGTATCCATGCTAGGTGATGTGGAATATCCCTGCTAGGTGGTGTGGAGTATCCCTGCTGGGTTTTGTGGAGTATCCCTGCTAGGTGGTGTGGAGTATCCCTGCTAGGTGGTGTGGAGTGTCCTTGCTAGGTGATGTGGAGTATCCATGTTAGGTGGGGTGGAGTATCCCTGCTAGGTGATGTGGAGTGTGCCTGCTAGGTGGTGTGGAGTATCCCTGCTAGGTGATGTGAAGTATCCCTGCTAGGTGGTGTGGAGTATCCCTACTGGGTGGTGTGGAATATCTCTGCTAGGTGGTGTGGAGTATCACTGCTAGGTGGTGTGGAGTGTCCCGGCTAGGCGATGTTGAGTATCCCTGCTAGGTGGTGTGGAGTATCCCTGCTAGGTGGTGTGGAGTATCCCTGCTAGGTGGTGTGGAGTGTCCCTGCTAGGTGGTGTGGAGTATCCTTGCTAGGTGGTGTGGAGTATACCTGCTAGGTGGTGTGGAGTGTCCCTGCTAGGTGGTGTGGAGTGTCCCTCCTAGGTGGTGTGGAGTGTCCCTGCTAGGTTGTGTGGAGTGTCCCTGCTAGGTGGTGTGGAGTGTCCCTGCTAGGTGGTGTGGAGTGTCCCAGCTAGGTGGTGTGGAGTGTCCCTGCTAGGTGGTGTGGAGTGTCCCTGCTAGGTGGTGTGGAGTGTCCCTGCTAGGTGGTGTGGAGTGTCCCTGCTAGGTGGTGTGGAGTGTCCCTGCTAGGTGGTGTGGAGTGTCCCTGCTAGGTGGTGTGGAGTGTCCCTGATAGGCGATGTTGAGTATCACTGCTAGGTGGTGTGGAGTATCCCTGCTAGGTGGTGTGGAGTATCATTTCTAGGTGGTGTGGAGTATCCCTGCTAGGTGGTGTGGAGTGTCCCTGCTAGGTGTTGTGGAGTGTCCCTGCTAGGTGGTGTGGAGTGTCCCTGCTAGGTGGTGTGGAGTGTCCCTGCTAAGTGGTGGGGAGTTTCCCTGCTAGATGGTGTGGAGTGTCCCTGCTAGGTTGTGCGGAGTGTCCCTGCTAGGTGGTGTGGAGTGTCCCTGCTAGGTGGTGTGGAGTGTCCCTGCTAGGTGGTGCGGAGTGTCCCTGCTAGGTGGTGTGGAGTTTCCCTGCTAGGTGGTGTGGAGTGTCCCTGCTAGGTGGTGTGGAGTGTCCCTGCTAGGTGGTGTGGAGTGTCTTTGCTAGGTGGTGTGGAGTGTCTTTGCTATGTGGTGTGAGTGTCCCTGCTAGGTGGTGTGAAGTACCCCTGCTAGGTGGTGTGGAGTGTCCCTGCTAGGTGGTGTGGAGTGTCCCTGCTAGGCGGTGTGGAGTATCCCTGCTAGGTGATGTGAAGTATCTCTGCTAGGTGATGTGGAGTATCCCTGCTAGGTGGTATGGAGTATCCCTGCTAGGTGGTGTGTAGTATCCATGCTAGGTGGTGTGGAATATCCCTGCTAGGTGGTGTGGAGTATCCCTGCTGGGTTTTGTGGAGTATCCATGTTAGGTGGTGGGGAGTATCCCTGCTAGGTGATGTGGAGTGTGCCTGCTAGGTGGTGTGGAGAATCCCTGCTAGGTGATGTGAAGTATCCCTGCTAGGTGGTGTGGAGTATCCCTACTGGGTGGTGTGGAGTATCTCTGCTAGGTGGTGTGGAGTATCACTGCTAGGTGGTGTGGAGTGTCCTTGCTAGGTGGTGTGGAGTATCCCTGCTAGGTGGTGTGGAGCGTCCCTGCTATGTGGTGTGGAGTATCCTTGCTAGGTGGTGTGGAGTATCCCTGCTAGGCGGTGGGGAGTATCTCTGCTAGGTGGTGTGGAGTGTCCCTGCTAGGTGGTGTGGAGTGTCCCTGCTAGGTGGTGTGGAGTGTCCCTGCTAGGTGGTGTGGAGTGTCCCTGCTAGGTGGTGTGGAGTGTCCCTGCTAGGTGGTGTGGAGTGTCCCTGCTAGGTGGTGTGGAGTGCCCCTGCTAGGTGGTGTGGAGTGTCCCTGCTAGGTGGTGTGGAGTGTCCCTGCTAGGCGATGTTGAGTATCACTGCTAGGTGGTGTGGAGTATCCCTGCTAGGTGGTGTGGAGTATCCCTTCTAGGTGGTGTGGAGTATCCCTGCTAGGTGGTGTGGAGTGTCCCTGCTAGGTGGTGTGGAGTGTCCCTGCAAGGTGGTGTGGAGTGTCCCTGCAAGGTGTTGTGGAGTGTCCCTGCTAGATGGTGTGGAGTTTCCCTGCTAGGTGGTGTGGAGTGTCCCTGCTAGGTTGTGTGGAGTGTCCCTGCTAGATGGTGTGGAGTGTCCCTGCTAGGTTGTGTGGAGTGTCCCTGCTAGGTGGTGTGGAGTGTCCCTGCTAGTGAGGTTGGTGTGGAGTGTCCCTGCTAGGGTGGTTGGTGGGAGTGTCCCTGCTAGGTGGTGTGGAGTTTCCCTGCTAGGGTGGTGTTGAGGTGGTCCCTGCTAGGTGGTGTGGAGTGTCCTGCTATGGGTGGAGTGTCCTGCTAGGTGGTGTGGAGTGTCCCTGCTAGTGGTGAGGTGTGTGGGAGTGTCCTGCTAGTGGTGTGGAGTGTCCCTGCTAGGTGGTGTGGAGTGTCCCTGCTAGGTGGTGTGGAGTGTCCCTGCTAGGTGGTGTGGAGTGTCCCTGCTAGGTGGTGTGGAGTGTCCCTGCTAGGTGGTGTGGAGTGTCCCTGCTAGGGTGGTTTGTGTGGAGTTCCCTGCTAGGTTTGTGGAGTTCACTGCTAGTGGAGTGGAGTATCCCTGCTAGGTGGTGTGGAGTGTCCTGCTAGGTGGTGTGGAGTGTCCCTGCTAGGTGGTGTGGAGTTTCCCTGCTAGTGGTGTGGAGTATCCCTGCTAGGTTGTGGAGTATCCCTGCTATGTGGTGTGGAGTGTCCCTGCTAGGTGGTGTGGAGTGTCCCTTGCTAGTGGTGTGGAGTTCCCTGCTAGGTGGTGTGAGTGTCCCTGCTAGGTGGTGTTGTGCAGTGATTGTGGAGTTTTGTAGTGTGGAGTTCCCTGCTAGGTGGTGTGTGGAGGGTTTTTCCCTGCTAGGTGGTGTGGAGTGTCCCTGCTAGGTGGTGTGGAGTTCCCTGCTAGTGTGATGTGTGTGGAGTTTCCCTGCTAGGTGGTGTGAGATGTCCCTGCTAGGTGGTGTGGAGTTCCCTGCTGGGTGTGGAGTTCCCTGCTAGGTGGGTGGAGTATCCCTGCTAGGTGGTGTGGAGTGCTTGCTAGGGTGTGAGTGATCCCTGCTAGGTGGTGTGGAGTTCCCTGCTAGGTGTGTGGAGTATCCCTGCTAGGTGGTGTGGAGTGTCCCTGCTAGGTGGTGTGATGTCCCTGCTAGGTGGTGTGGATGTCCCTGCTAGGTGGTGTGGAGTATCCCTGCTGGGTTTTGTGGAGTATCCCTGCTAGGTGGTGTGGAGTATCCTGCTAGGTGGGTGTGGTAGTGTTCCCTGCTAGGCGGTGATGGGAGTATCCCTGCTAGGTGATGTGGAAATATCCTGCTAGTGATGTGGAGTATCCCTCTAGGTGGTTGGAGTATCCCTGCTAGGTGGTGTGGAGTATCCTGCTAGGGGTGTGGATATCCCTGCTAGGTGGGTGGAGTATCCCTGCTAGGGTTGTGGGAGTATCCCTTTCTAGTGGTGTGGAGTGTCCCTGCTAGGTGATGTGGAGTATCCCTGTAGGTGGTGTGGATATCCCTGCATGGGTGATGTGCAGTGGTGCCTGCTAGGTGGTGTGAGTGTACCCTGCTAGGTGTGTGTAAGTATCCCTGCTAGATGGTGTGGAGTATCCCGCTAGGTGGTGTGGAGTATCACTGCTAGGTGGTGTGGATGTCCTGCTAGGCGATGTGAGTTACCCTGCTAGGTGGCTGTGGAGTATCCCTGCTAGGTGGTGTGGAGTATCCTTGCTAAGTGGTGTGGAGTATCCCTGCTAGGTGGTGTGGAGTCCTCTAGGTGGGTGGAGTGTCCCTGCTAGGTGGTGTGGAGTGTCCCTGCTAGGTGGTGTGGAGTGTCCCTGCTAGTGGTGTGGAGTGTCCCTCTAGGTGGTGTGAGTATCCCTGCTAGTGTGTGGAGTGTCCCTGCTAGGTGGTGTGGAGTGTCCCTGCTAGGTGGTGTGGATATCTCTGCTAGGTTGTGTGGAGTGTCCCTGTAGGTGGTGTGGAGTTCCCTGCTAGGTGGGGTGGAGTGTCCCTGCTAGGTGGTGTGGAGTTCCCTGCTAGGTGGTGTGGAGTGTCCCTACTAGGTGGGTGGAGTGACCCTGCTAGGTGGGTGGAGTGTCCCTGCTAGGTGGTGTGGAGTGTCCCTGCTAGGTGGTGTGGAGTGTCCCTGCTAGGTGGTGTGGAGTGTCCCTGCTAGGTGGTGTGGAGTGTCCCTGCTAGGTGGTGTGGAGTGTCCCTGCTAGGTGGTGTGGAGTGTCTCCTGCTAGGTTTGAGTGTCCTGTAGGGTGTGTGAGTGTACCCCTAGGTGTGTGATGTCCTACTAGGTGGTGTGGAGTATCCTGCTAGTGTGTTGTGGAGTGTCCTGCTGGTGGTGTGAGTGTCCTGTAGTGGCGTGGAGTGTCCTGCTGTGTGTGAGTGTCCCTCATTAGGTTGCGGAGTGCCCTCGATGTGTGTGTGGTGTCCCTGCATGTGGTGTGGAGTTCCGCTAGGTGTTGTGGATGTCCTGCTAGGTGGTGGAGATTGTCCTGCTAGTGTAAGAAATACTGTTTATTCGTTTAATGAGGTTTTATAAACATGATGTGTAATACATTCTTAGAGAGTAAGTGATGGTTCTGGCTTGTGTTGGTGAGTGATTGTGTTTGTGTTGTGTGTGTGTGTGAGGTTCGAGGGTGAAGTGTGTGGTTTGGTAACCACCATAATGTTAGGTTGCTTGAGAGGTCGATGTGTTGTGTTGAGATAAACTTGCCTATTCCCTTCTACGTGTTATGACGTACTGTATACAGGAAGGGAGCATGAGAACATTCGTACCATTACTAATGATGTGATAAGTATAAATACATGTTTATAAGCGTGGGTATAGGGGTAAACTAATAAAACACTGATAATGTAATACATGTCTATTTATGAGATCTAACACAATTGGTCTGGCTTGTGCCTCTTGAGGACCAAGGCTGAACCTATACATTAGAGACATCTACCCAAAATAGACTCTTATGATGCGTGTGTACAGAGGTTACAGAGAGGGAAGGGGCAAGGAAGTCTTAAACACCACATTCAGTGCTATAACGTCGCGTTTTTGCTTTGATGACGGTGGAATGTCCGTTGTGTTGAAGGCAGAGGTCAGAATCGTAGGGTGGCCCTAATTGCCCTCGCCACGGGTCCACTGGTCGACCGCAACAAAAGACACACTGAAGAGTTCGTCGAAACGCTTCCCGAAAGTCGCGGTTGAAGTATGCATAAATAGCAGGATTGAGCATGGAATTAAAATAGCCGATCCAGAAGAGGATTGAAACTATAATTTCAGGACAAGGGCAAGCTTGGCCGCAGAGTGTGATTGTAACGTACCAGGTGAAGAATGGGAGCCAGCACACGATGAATGCACCCATGATGATGCCCAGCGTGCGGGCTGCCTTGTGCTCACGTTTCAGCTTGATGAGGTTGCGCTCCTTGGTAGGGGTGGCTTCCTGGGTATCACTGGAGGGCCGATGGTTCATAAGACGACGACCTGATCCCCCGCTGGCTAGACCCAAGCTGACAGTAGTGTCGGAACCCACCCCGTTACTGCCTATGCTGGCTGTAGTGATAGTAGTGTTGGTAGAGTTGTTGGATACCAAGACAGCAGCGTGCGAGGCCTGGGATGCACTGGACAGTCTTGTATGACGATGCAACATGCGCTCTTGACGTGCAGCTTCTAGGTAGATGCGGTAGTACATGTAAACCATTACACTGCATGGCATCCAGAAAGAAATTGATGATGACACCACTGCATATGTGGAGTTGACTTCGAAAATACAGAGGCTAGGGTTGGCAGCTCGCTTGGCCAAGTGTTCATCAGTAGTGTACCAACCCATAAAAATGGGCAGGAAGGAGATGACTAGTGGGGCGACCCAGACATGACACAGCATCACCATTACACGACCCTCAGTCATAACCATAGGGTACTCAAGAGGTCGCACGATAGCATAGTAACGATCAATACTGATGCAACACAAATGTAGGATGGACACAGTGGACGCAAAGACATCAAAAGAATTCCACAGGTCACACATACGGTAGCTGAACAACCAACGTCCAGTAATTTCAACACTGGCATTAAAAGGCATAGCCATGAGAGCTACCAATATATCTGCGATGGCAAGGGAAACCACAAAGTAGTTAGTAATTATACGGAGTCGGCGATGACGGACCACACTCACCACTACAAGCAGGTTACCCAACACTGCGCAGACAATAATCACTGCCATGCACACTCCCTTCACTATGCCCACAGTTAGGTCTGCCCATTCTGGTCCACTCTCTGTGTCTGCCGAGGTGCCCACACTGACGTTGGCGATGCCCTCAGCAACCCACGTCTCAGTGCTGAGCTCTCCTGCCTCACCCATTACAGCTGTTCCTCGAAGCATGGAAGTCACATTTCTCACCTATCTCAATGCAATGGAAGTTTACTGGGTTTTATTTGTTTTTACTGCTCAATATTTTTACTGCATAATTTTAGTTAAATTTTCTTAAAGCACCGTCAGCACATTAATTTTCAAGCACCAAAGAAACTTCACGACATTTTATATGTTCACAGTATCACTGCATCAGCTAGAAAACACTGATATAAAAATGGCTTATGCTGGAACAGGACTGGAAGTGTTACTCTTAAAAAGGAAGATGAGAGGTCTAAATAGTGCAGCTACAGCAGTGTTGCTGGCACAGCAGTAACACAGCACCTAGTTTCTTGGAGGAGAGGCTTGTTGCACCTCTTTCATACAGACTGAATCATACATATGACATATACATGAACTACTGACAGCACAATTTTGTAATACGTTTTTTTAAATAAAAAATAAGCTAATTAACACAACCAATAAGTTATTCAGTCAATATGTTTTTTTTATCACCGAATACAACCGTTTCAATAGGTGTTGCTTCCGTACTGGAAAAGTTTTTTGTTTACTAGGGAAATTACTTTGGAAGCATATTAGATAATTAAAGAACTTTAGCTGTGACACCTTTCTTCTACAATAAATGTGACTGATTACATTGCAGTCAAGACTATAGCTTTTCAGTTTTATTCATGAGTGCAGTCAAGACTATAGCTTTTCAGTTTTATTCATGAGTGCAGTCAAGACTATAGCTTTCCAGTTTTATTCATAAGTGCAGTCAAGACTATAGCTTTCCAGTTTTATTCATAAGTGCAGTCAAGACTATAGCTTTTAGTTTTATTCATAAGTGCAGTCAAGACTATAGCTTTCCAGTTTTATTCATAAGTGCAGTCAAGACTATAGCTTTCCAGTTTTATTCATAAGTGCAGTCAAGACTATAGCTTTCCAGTTTTATTCATAAGTGCAGTCAAGACTATAGCTTTTAGTTTTATTCATAAGTGCTTTTGAGCCCGTATATACAAATTTACTTTTAACATTAAAGCTTAAAACACCTGCGCCAGGAACACCTTGATATCACTTTAGCAGTGGTGTTTGTGTTGGGTAATTTACACACATAAGCACATTTGTGCTACTGAACATCAATGAATAATTAGTTTACAACATGTAATAGTTGGTATATGAATGGTTTAGTATGCACCAGAAATGTCTGAAGAGGAAGTACTCTGACATTCACTTAACCTACAGCTAGAAACAACCAGTGTCAAACACTGCCATATATATTTATATATATATTCCATAAAACAACGATGAACACACAATGTACAATACATGGATTGTAGAGGACGCCAGGTAACACAATAATTCTCTCTGTAAAATACTGCTTTTTAATATTTCGTGTGTTGTTAATTCATGAAAAACACTTGAGACGTGCTAAATTATGAGCGGTGTTTAGGAAAAATTCTGCATGTGATTTTAGTATACAAAAATATATCTCTTTTTCTTTTTAATCTTGAGGCAAATATTCTAATATAAATGCGTTTTCTTTTACAGAGATGGTTTTAGTTGAGTAACTTCACAAAATTAGTTAAAACGTCAGTATTGCTATCTTATGTTTTAAAAATCACAACAGATTTACACTCTGATCCATCTTCTTAATGTTTTAAAGAATAATTGCTGATTGTCATAAGAGGTCAGCGTACGGTCATATAGTACTCCATGTGTGTTGTGGTAGGTACAGAGAATGACCGCCAGTATATAGGCCAGGGATGGAAGCTGAGAGGATCATACCTGTTTGTCTACCCCCCCCACACATTGTCGCACTGAGAGCCACGATGCCTCTCTTCTGGCATCCCGGAATATTCTACTATCGTGAGTCGCCATTATATATCCGCCTCTAATTTCCTGCCAGTACCAAGGTTATTTCTTAATAGAGTTGGCTGACAGAAAGAAGAGTTACTGCTGTAATGTGTGTAGTGGACACTAATTCGTTTCTAGCATAATAATAATGTTTGAGTTCTTCTGCACAACAGCTTTTTTCTGTTACAAACAGTTGCTCTTCCAAGGGGAATATTTCATTAGCTCATAGCACGTATATCTGGTATTTCAAGGACGACGGTCACTATGAGAGAGGCTTGCAGGTGCAGCTGGCAGTATGTCTTGCACATGGGTTCACATCAGCTCATCTCAGCATCTCTGCTGCCACTGAAAAGAGAGAGATTTGAGTTAGGCTTGAGTCCAAAAACTTGGAGTGGTTTTAAAATTAGTTTAGGTAAATGAGTGGGAGTAGCTAGCGAGAGGAGGACTTACTTAACAAGAACCAGTAGGTCTTTCTGTGTGCTCTCAGGTTCATACTTTACAAGAACCAGTAGGTTTTATTGAGTATTCCCAGGTTCATACTTTACATGAACCAGTAGGTCTTACTGTGTGTTCCCAGGTTATACTTTACATGAACCAGTAGGTCTTTCTGTGTGTTCCCAGGTTCATACTTTACATGAACCGGTAGGTCTTTGTGTGTTCCCAGGTTCATACTTTACATGAACCAGTAGGTCTTTCTGTGTGTTCCCAGGTTCATACTTTACATGAACCAGTAGGTCTTTCTGTGTGTTCCCAGGTTCATACTTTACATGAACCAGTAGGTCTTTCTGTGTGTTCCCAGGTTCATACTTTACATGAACCGGTAGGTCTTTGTGTGTTCCCAGGTTCATACTTTACATGAACCAGTAGGTCTTTCTGTGTGTTCCCAGGTTCATACTTTACATGAACCAGTAGGTCTTTCTGTGTGTTCCCAGGTTCATACTTTACATGAACCAGTAGGTCTTTCTGTGTGTTCCCAGGTTCATACTTTACATGAACCAGTAGGTCTTTCTGTGTGTTCCCAGGTTCATACTTTACATGAACCGGTAGGTCTTTGTGTGTTCCAGGGTGTTACGTAGCGATATGCATAAAAAATATTTTATATAACATAGTTCCGGGAGTATACTGAAAGAGGACGTGTATTATTCCCTGAAAGTGAATGCGTTTTATTCCTGTCAGTCAGGCAGTGGCCAGGACAGGAGCAGGTGAGAGGTGTGTTTAGTTCAGTACGGGAAGGAATGCGGCTGGGTGAATTAGTCATGGGTTTGTGTTAGTTTGAGTAGGTAATTTTGGTAAGTTTTTAGTATATACCGTAGGTGTTTGTTTAAGTGCTCTCATGTTTATTTGTAAAGCTCTAGTATGCAGGGGCCTGTGTTTTGGGGAATGTTTAACGTTTCCACTGTAGGCTAAGTAGCCTGCAGAAAGTGGGAGAGGCGTGTCATGGAGCCTCCCTGTTCATAAATGTTCATTTATTTTGTTTAACTCAGTAGCAGTGTGCTAGTGAACTTATGTGAACTGGAGTGTGGTGATTTTTTGTAGTAGTTATAAGTTGTTTATAAGTTACTATTAATATAGATATATTTTTATTTAGGTAAGCTTTTGTACATGCTGGCCGGGCCAAGGTTCGCTGAGTTTCCAGAGAGATTTTATAATCCTTAGACAGCCTTTAGGAGCCAGGAAAATTTTATTTAAGTTACGACTTCAAAGTCGTAACACCAGGTTCATACTTGACATGAACCAGTAGGTCTTACTGTGTGTTCCCAGGTTCATACTTGACATGAACCAGTAGGTCTTACTGTGTGTTCCCAGGTTCATACTTGACATGAACCAGTAGGTCTTACTGTGTGTTCCCAGGTTCATACTTGACATGAACCAGTAGGTCTTACTGTGTGTTCCCAGGTTCATACTTGACATGAACCAGTAGGTCTTACTGTGTGTTCCCAGGTTCATACTTGACATGAACCAGTAGGTCTTACTGTGTGTTCCCAGGTTCATACTTGACATGAACCAGTAGGACTTACTGTGTGTTCCCAGGTTCATACTTGACATGAACCAGTAGGACTTACTGTGTGTTCCCAGGTTCATACTTGACATGAACCAGTAGGACTTACTGTGTGTTCCCAGGTTCATACTTGACATGAACCAGTATGTCTTACTGTGTTCCCAGGTTCATACTTGACATGAACCAGTAGGACTTACTGTGTTCCCAGGTTCATACAAGTGCATGATATGCCTCAACAATTCCTTTTATTTATTTTTATCTCTCGTACACTGGTTCTATAAATTCATTTTGCTGCCACTTCCATCCTTCACACAGTAAATAGAAGGTAAAAAGGGTGACAAGAAATGTATTCGCATTCTTAAGTATGAGCATAGGTGGTTTGGAATATTAAATTACCTGTATGAACCTCATTAGATACATACCAGTAATTTGTAACAAAGATAATTATTCTTTACCAAGTGTTACTGAGGCATGTAGGAATTTTGGGACACCCTAGGTCGCCAAGAGAATGTCCCTCTTCGATACCCACTATTCTCATACATCCCACAAGTTACTCTGGACCTACATTAACTTCAAATTTAATAAGCACCACCAATAATTCTGGTAATAATATTTACATGAATTATATGGACTGTATGTTAAACTGACATAAATAATAAATACATATACATGTTTATGTAATATAGGATAGAAAAATTTATGTTACCAACACTCACCAAATTTGTCTGAAGATTACTTGGTGTAACTAGGTCACCCACCCCTTGCCTAGATATGAGGAAACTACTGGCCAGAATTTCAACGTATAGAGACAGTACTTATCTGGGTGCTGGTGGTTCCTTATTATCCCTTTTCACATCTAATTTCGAAGTCCTGCCCAGTCGTTGGTTTTTCACATTCTGCAGGACTGTAACTCCATCTATTGTTGCTCCTATTTGAGAGGTTTCAACTACATTTAACCTCCAAAGCTTTGAAATAATTCCTCTGATTTCACTAACGTCTGGTCCCTCCCAGTTTCAAAATGGCCTCCTTCCCAGTAACGCTACCAATTCGCTAGTTCCCTTGTTTATTTCCAAATTAATTTTTACCAAGAACAATGTATTTCATTAATTTACATGCGAAAATACACTATATTTCGGAAAATATATGCAATATTTTCCGCAGATGGAGTAATCTTAACTCTAGAATTAGAGGAAATTTACGTACAAGAGGAAATTGGCTGGAGGAAATCCAGCCGAAATCAAATTAGGAGGGAGAAAAAAAAATGTAGCCACTTTTCAGCTCCGAGAAAGAAGAGAGTAAAGAAGAAAGGAAGAGGCTTGATAATTTTAGTAAAAGCATTACTTTAAGCTACAGAAATTTACCTCTGAATTGGGGTGCCTTGCCAATGGTAAAGGACTCTTTATTCATTTAGTTGAAGCTACCTTTCTTATCCTCGGATCAAACTTTGTTGACTCTCGTCCCTCCCTCTCGTTGCACAGTACTGTGCCTTGTGTACTTCGCCCCACTTCATTTTCCATTAATTCTGGCTGACTAGTGGCCTCTCTCAACAGTCCATCCAGGACCGGGCTTAATCAAAAACAGTTAAGCAATCACTCTGAGGTCAGGCTAGCGAAAAATCAAAGGAGAGGTAAGAAGTGAGGTCAAGGTCAAAGACAAGTCAAACAATGATAATACTAGGTGCAGAAGTAAAGGGAGGGCAAAACAGGTCGAGGTTATGGATAAAAACAATTATACGAATTGTGGGCAATTTGAGCGATGGGTCCTGCCATCATGTACACTCCCTTGTTATGCTTCACTGAGACAGCCATGGTTCTAGCCTGACACAACTGCAGTGATGCTCTTCAGCTCGTGATGTGGGAGTGTAGACTGGAAGTCACACCCTGTTTCACAGATGTAAAACTTGCCACATCCTCCCTTTCCTCACAGACTGTTGTCAACACCTGGAGGAGCAGCACTGTGGTTGTATCGGGATGAGGGTAGAACCAAGCAGAGGATTCTGGAGTTAGCCACATTCATTTATCTGGCATCAATGCACAAAACAAGGAAATATACATACAAAAATATTACTGAAAACCTGGCCCTACCTGTTTGATCTGTCCATCACCCCCGACTTCACTTACCTCTTTCTTGACCTTACTCAAGCGCGGCTTGAAGGTGCTTGTTTGGCTTGTAAAGCAGTGTATGTGTTTGTGTTTATATACTTGATAAAGTTCAGTCCTAGACGGAACGTTGTAATAAAAGTTTACCTGCAGCAGTGTTTTTGTCACCGCCTGTTGACTCACAATCATTGAACCAAGTCATACAGAAACGTTGTCTCATTAAAGGATTGCTCTGTAACATTCTATTTTATTTAGGTCAATAGCTATCTGGGTGTCAGTCGACTGTTGTACGTCTCTTCTTAGAGGGAATCCCAGTGCAAATAAATCTGTGAAGGTAATATACCACCTAGGGAATGAGAGACATTCGGATCGGTCCAAAGAAGGGGCTGTGAAGCCCAGTTCCTTGAATCAAGAGCCCTCACTGGCATCAAGGCGCCTTCCAGACAAAAGTGACTTTACTTTAAGCAAGATGCCTTGATGCTCTTAAAAGGTCCTCTCTCCTAGGGATTGCAGCGACCTTTTCCCTGGATCGAGGTTGATTACCAGACACTGTAACACCTGTGAATATTTTCTGCAAAGTGAACAGGAACAACGTACGTAAGGAAGCATGCTCAAATGGCCCTGGATTGAACCCGGAACTTTCACTTGTGAGCCTGGCGAAACATGATTATGATGTCCAAGTTTCTCTAAGGAATGGAACCTTTAAGGGGAACTCCTAGATGCGGTGAAAGACTGTCGCGTGAACCAAAGAACCAGAACTACAATACTTTTGCTGGACCAAACATGATTACTATAGTGCTGTATGACCGACGGGTTTAGCACTTCTCCATGAATATAATAATCTGAGGAGTCGTCTATAGACACTTTAGAATATATCTATTCCCTCTTAGGGACTTAGAGTAGGTATGAGAGGATTCAGTAATACTAGTCAGTATAGATTAACTCAGCTAACTTGACTGAGTGTTAGAGTCTGGCAAGGATTGAGTAATGTAACTGGTGAGTTTTACCTGCTCTTCCTTCTCCTCTTTACCATATTGTGATTGGGAGGCAATCCTGTTCCTTAAATTAAGAGGTGTTCAACATTTTGGAGGGACCTCCTAGAAGAAGACAGTGTTCAATATTCCTTGCGTTTGTAACGTTTTTGTGTACATTAATATTATTACTGTATATTATATTACAATATTATATTTTTACGGTATATTACATTATTATTAATTATTAATTATTATTATTATTATTATTATTATTATTATTATTATTATTATTATTATTATTATTATTATTATTAATATTATTATTGTTATTATTTTTATTATTATTATTATCATCATCATCATCATCATCACCATCATCATCAGTGGTATTATTTTCACATTATCGTGAGGCTGAACAGTATGGCACAGTGATGGAGATATGTGAGTATTGCACCATGCTGATACAACTCTAGTGGTCGACAAGTCTAACGTGAGGGTGACCAAGAGAATTAATTAGACCTCCTCACCATCACCTGCGCTT